ACTCACGAAGCTGCTGTGGCGAGAGATTCTCCTGGCGACGAGACTGCCGCTGCTGTCCAGTACCTCCAGCACCTCCAAAGTCACAAGCTCTTGCGCCAGAGCGGCCTCGCCGAATAACCCACTCGCGAAGCTGCTGCGGCGACAGAGTCTCTGGCTGACGCTACTGCTGCTGCTGTCCTCTGCCAGACGCTACTACGGCTGTGATAGTGGCCATGACAAGCAGTGGCAGTCAGTAGCAGTGACACAAGGGCGTCAGAAGCGACTGCAGTAACTGCAGCTGTAGCAGTAGCAGTAAGCGGTGTAATGGCAGGTGGTGTGGTTGCAACAGAAGTAGCGACTGCTGGAGTAGGGTGCGTGGGCAGCAAGGGTGCGTGGGCAGCAAGGCGCGCAGGGCGCGGGCAGCGCAGGCACGCGGGCGGCAGGGCAGCGCGGGCTGCAGGGAAGATGGGCTGCAGGACAGGGCGCAGGCAGCAGGGCAGGGCGGCGTGCGGGCTGCAGGGTGGCGTGCGGGCTGCAGGGCTGCGCAGGCAGGGCAGCGCGGGGGCTGCAGGGCGTGCAGGCAGCAGGGCAGGGCAGCGCGGGGGCTGCAGGGCAGGGCGGCGCGCGGGCTGCTGGGTAGGGCGGCGCGCGGGCTGCAGGGAAGGGCGGCGTGCGGGCTGAAGGGCAGGACAGCGCGCGGGCTGCAAGGCAGGACAGCGCACGGGCTGCAGGGCAGGGCGACGCGCGGGCTGCAGGGCAGGGCAGCACAAGGGCTGCAGCGCTGCGCAGGCAGGGCAGCGCGCGGGCTGCAGGGCGTGCGGGCAGCATGGCAGGGCAGTGCACGGGCTGCAGGGCAGGGCGGCGCGCGGGCAGCAGGGCAGGGCAGCGCGCAGGCTGCATGGCAGGGCGGCACGCGGGCTGCAGGGCAGGGACCTGCTCTGAATACCATGTCAAAAATAGCAGGCAAGAATGGTGGACTAGAAGCATGAGATGAGTACAAGTTCTAGGTCTAACCCTAAAGTGTTGTACTTAGTAGAGGTTACCCCACTACAACCTACAGATATACAAACACAGTTTGACATGTTTATGATAGTCTAATTATTCGTTGGGATTTTTTTTCCAGTCCTTGATTTGTCTCAGGTTAGCATGTTTAAGGAAAATTCATTAATGTCATTGATGGGGGTCCCAATTCTCGGAAGTGCACGTTCGGCCGTTTACTTCAACGTCGAGGCTGCCTCGCGTCGCCTTCGGTTTTCCTTTGCCCAACCTGCACCCGACCTTGCGTTCCCGAGGTTTCTGCCTAGCTAGGTTAGCCTACTATGTAATTCAGTGTCATTTATTTTATCGTCAATCCATGTTGTCGCAGCTTCTTGGTATATTCGTTATTCCGTCCAAATCTGTTGAACAATTCGTACCACATTGGCCCTGCTCTGTAGGCGTTATTTTGTGAAAATCGAGCTACGCGAAATCTTCTGAGATAAGCAGTGTTTGTGCTATCAAGGTTCGGGGTGTGCCATCTCTTTCCGAGCCTGTCCGAATAACATTAAACCCGAGTGCCAACAGAACACCACTTGCTGGTCCGCACAACATTAACCCCACGAGGCTTCCTCCAGGCTTCCTCACCAGCCAAGGTGCTGTTCGCCAGCACCATTATATCCAAAAACCACGGGATCAGGAAGGTGGGTCTCGCCTTCCTGATCCCGTCAGTTAGAGTTCGTTAACCTCCGTCAGCTTGGTCATCCCGTGAAAAAAGTGCACAGCGGTGGCACAGCCGACGCATTGCTGTTCAGAGGGTAACCCTTGAACAAGCCTGCAGTTTAACAAAGGGGGGTTCGTATACCCCCCATTTTTCCCTCCCAAACACACCTTCGAAATGCCCCCCGCGCATTACTTGAGTTGTGTCTGTCAGAATGTTATATTTGTCTAGCCTGCAGTGGGGTACTCAATAGTGAGTACAGCCCAATCTAGGGTTTCCTATATGTGCTCAACTGCCTGCTAGTGCAAACCCTCTTTCTCGTTTCTAACTTTCAACTGTTATTCCAACATGGAATCAGAGCAGGTCGACCCCCATGGGTCGATCCTGTGGATGGGCCCACCCAATACTTCCGCTGCTGCTACTCTGTCTATCGCGCGCCTCGGGCGCGCGCTGCCTGCTTGCCTGCCGCGCGCCCATGGCGCGCGGCCATTTTTCTTCCCGCCGCGCGCTCGAGGCGCGCGACGGTTTTCTGACCGTCGCGCCGCCCTGGGGGCCGCGCGACGCCCTACTCTGCCCGTCGTGCGCCCCGTGGCGCGCGGCAGTGCCCTGCCCGTCGCGCGCCCCAGGGCGCACGGCGGTTTCGTCGCCCGGGGGGGCTCGTGCGCGGCCCCCCCCTCGTCGCCCGTAGCGGCGCCAACGGGGGCCCGCGCGGCCCCCCATTCCCGTCGCCTGTCGAGGCGACCCGGGGGGGGGGGGGGGCGCGGGCGACAGAAGGGGGCCGCGCGTCGGCCCCTCCCGTCTTCGTCGCGGCCCTGCCCGGCCCTGCCGTCCTGCCCTGGCCCTGCCCGGCCCTGCCCTGCCCGTCCCTGCCCCTGTCTTCGTCACGGCCCCGCCCAGCTGCCGCCCCTGCTGCGGCCCTACCCTGTGTTGGGCTTTGGGGGTGGTGAGTATGAGGGTGACGGATGTGTGCGGTCTCCCCTGCTCCTCCTCCTCCTCTGTCTCCCACTGCTGCAGCTGCCGCTGAGGGGGGTGGGTGTGTGGGAGACGATGGAGTGGCAATAGGGGGGGGTGTCGTGTGGGAGTGAAACTAGGGGTGCAGCGGGGGGTGTGTGAAAGGGGGGTGCGACAGTGGGGGAGGTTGAAGGGAAGTAGCCGTCGTGTTGCCAGCAGTTCCAGTAGTCCGGAGGTGCGCTTCCGGTAGCCCAGTGATGCTGCTGCGCCAGTCGCCCGTGGGTCCGTTGCTCCTGCCGCTCGTCTTAGCCGCGGAGCCAGTTACTCCTGTAGTCTGGAGGTGCGCCTCCGGTAGCCACAGTGCGCGCCGCTCCTGTTGCCTGTGTGTCTGCAGCTTCCGCCGTTGCCTCCTCTCTCCTTTCCTATTAGTCCAGCCTTCTCCTCCTCACTTGCCCTCTGTGATAGCCTCTAGTTTTGCTTGTATTTGTGAACTATAACCTGCTACTTCCTGTACTTGTGCTCAGAATGTGTGGTGACTTTGTGATCCACCCTGAGCTTGTTTTTTGCTTTGCTTGTTGTGCTGATTACACCCCACTTTGGCTATGGGGGTGTGTCAGAATGTTATATTTGTCTAGCCTGCAGTGGGGTACTCAATAGTGAGTACAGCCCAATCTAGGGTTTCCTATATGTGCTCAACTGCCTGCTAGTGCAAACCCTCTTTCTCGTTTCTAACTTTCAACTGTTATTCCAACAGTGTCTGGGCATGAGCACGTGGTAGCGGGGGTTGTGTTTGAGCGGGGTGTGTTTTATTTGCGTTTTTTTACCCACGTTGAGCAATTTTTGGTCAGCGGGCAGCACAAGGGTCAGGGATGAGCAAATTTCGCGCCATTGGGGGGAAGGTGGGGATGGACCTTCCCGATGCGGTTGAGAAATTTCGCCTTTCGGGCGCGCGTAGTTTCTCGGGCGGTATTTCGCCCAAACCTCGGAGGAGGGTTCCGCCCCCGTTTCCATATGCGGTCGCGATGCTGATGCCATCGTTTCCTGTTGAAGAAACGATTTGCTGGCGAACAGCACCCAAATGTCCGCACAAATTTCACCCAGCCAAATCAACCTCGGGAGCTAGCATCAGCCTCCGCACAAGTTGTGCGGGGCAGCAACATCCGCGCAACGCAACCAGCATGAATGCGCCTAGAAAATACACGGAAGGCTACCACGGTCAAATTAGTGCGGAACCCTAAATGCCTGCAGAACAACGCCGTTGGTTAGTGGTTGTTTGGCTTGGTAACTTCTGAGAAGGAAGAAAGTTTTCGCCAACTCATCAACGCTGGCGATTTCGCACACTCTGATGTACGGCTGTGTGAACCTTTTCTGGGCCACAAGCACCAGGTGGTAGTTGAAACTGTATGGCATTATCCTCGACAATATCCAGGACTTATCAGATACTGCCACCCCATCCAAATTCAAGGCAACGGACAAGGGCACGAAGTTGAATGTTCCAGACTGCCCGACTGTCGAAATTACTCTCGTTTTCCAACAAGCTCAAAATCGCAAATAACGAATCGCCGCCGCGGAACGCAAAATCACGTACAGTGCTGTACAGTGCAAAAGTAGGACCGTTCCTTCGCTCACTCACAGCACCATCTCACCTAGTCGGTATTCCTGCTTGTCACGAACAACTGAATTCTAGAGAGGTACCCCGCTATACGATTTTTTTTTCGAACGTGGGCGACTAGCTTTGTGGCAAGCTTGTTCCGTTGGATAAATATGCACCTTTAGATCCCTTGCGTGCGACAGATGAATCTGTAACTTGCCTCTTGCTATGTGTTCAAGAACGCATTCTTACATACAGCATTAAACTGTTCCATCGGACAAATCCGTTTTCTTCTTCTGTTCTCCTTTCCTCCTGTTTGCTTCTGTCCTTCCCATAGCTCTAGTTACACCTACAAGTACCTTGCCTGCTCATCCGTGAACGTCTGATGAAGTTTCAGTAATGGAAAAGGAGGTGGAGCTCAGGGAAATCAGTACACGATTGATGCCTGAAACCTTGATACCAGACGAGCCGAGCTCTATTAGAAAACTCTTCTGGACCGCAACGTTCCCAAGTCCGCTGGACAGAATATTGAAACGTAACGGCGGGAGAGGTGGTGTCACCGTAGAGACGCTTTGAGACACGCTCGTTCAGCGATTGTTATCTTAACAGGTAATGCCGGCACGATGACAGTCAGCGCGACAGATTGGTTGAGAGAATTTACGGGGCCAATACGATCGAGGTCAAGGCCGGCAATGGTCTCCGCCTGTAGCATTGTCCCATACGGGCGCATATAACGTTCGGCAGTTCCTACTACGTCGGTCAGTTGCCGGCTAGCCGTCCGCCATGCCTCGCATCTTACGGCAGCTGCCGCTGCTCCGCAGCAGCAGCAAGGAGGAGCGCGGCGCGCCGCTAGAACGCCCAAAGACCGCCCTTCCGTCTGCCATCCCCGCGTGTTCTTCCGTCGGCCCCGCGCCTAGTCACTCGTCCCTCCTCGAGCGCAAGACGTCGCTCCCCTCCTTCCTCCCGCGCAAGTCTTCCGTGGAGCAGCCGCGCAAATCCCCCGCGGAGCAGCGCTCCGCGGAGCGCCCGCTCCGCGAGGGTCCCACCGCGCTGCGCCCCAAGTCCCCGCATCACCTGGAGTGGGTGCGCCAACTGTCGCTCTGGCAGGGCGCGCAGGCGCAGCAGGGGGAAGCGCGAGTGCAAGCGCACGGCGACGCGCAAGGATGGCCCGCGGCGCAGGAGGCGGAAGTTCCGCGGAACGGACAGTTGAAGGCGTCGCACGTGAAGGCGCGCGGCGAAGCGCAGGGATCGGCGCAAGATGCACGAAAAGGGGGAGCGCGGAAGGACGATGCGCGGAAGGGGTATGTGTCTCGGCGGAAGCAGTTCGTGCAGCGGATAACGAGCCGGAGCGCGGATGCTAACTGTCTCCCTGAGTCGCCAATTCACGATGTGTGGGAGGCGGCGGAAGCAGGAAGGCTAGCTATTTGGGTGGATCAGACGGACGGCGGCGATGAAAAAGGGACAGAATCGGACGGTCGGGATGCGCTGCAGCAGAATGGGATTGGTGCGGGGACGGCGGGGCAGTCGTATCAGGGGCGTCAGTCTGCTGGTACTGTCCCCGATAGTGGCGTCTTCGTTAGTGGCGTCTCCGTTAGTGGTGTCTCCGTTAGTGGCGTCTCCGTTAGTGGCGCCTCCGTTAGTAGCTCAGGATCGACAACCGATTACAACGTTACGGATACCGCCATCAGTGCGACGCCTGAAAGCCGAATTACTACGACTAGCGGATATGCCACAAACGGATCTGCTTCAAACGCGGTCGTTCCCGGAGGCTGCGGCAGCGCCGCTGCTGCTGCTGCTGCCGTCGCGACGGTTGTAGTACCCAGGAATCAAAGCGCGGCGGCCGCCGCTGCAGTCGCGAGCGACGCTACAGCTGCTGCGGCTGTAGCGCGGAGTTCTAGCAGCAGCGCGCCGCGCAACGGCCGATCAGCGGGCCACCGGCGGAGGTTCGTGCGCGCTGCTACCGCCAGCAGCGCTTCCATGGAGCTGCGCGGTTGGGACGGGGGGAGCGGGGAGAGGGACGGGGAAGGGGGAGGTGAAGGGGAAGGGGAAGGAGAAGGGGAAGGGGAAGGGGAGGGGGAGGGGGAAGAAGCGGGGCGGTTAGAAGGGGGGAGGGAGAGGGGAGCAGAGGGGGAAGCAGAAGGGGAAATGGCTGCAGTCAAGGCTGCGTTTCAGGCTCGGAGGTCCCAAACCTTGTCCGGACGAGTTGTGCTTTCCTCCCCGAGCCCACCTGGTAGCTTCGACAGCACGTTTGGCAGCACCTTTTCCCAAACCGAATCTTACGGCAGTGACTGTAGCAGTGTGACTATAGGAGGGGGGCAAGGGAGAGGAGGAGGAGGAGAATTTGGGAGAGAAAGGGGAAAAGAACGCGGATGGCGCGCTGGAGCTCAGAATCTCTCAGGTGCCGACGTGGCTGCTGACCTGGCAGCAGCAGCTGCAGCTGGAGGTGACACGTCAGCCGCATCCGACCTGTCACCGGCCGACACGGTGGCAGCAGGGATAGTCGCTTCCGCGTTATTCACCCAGAGGTCCCACACCATGCGGAACCGCATGGTACCGCTCACCACCATGGCGGTTACCACCCCCAGAGCCCCCGGCACTGCTGCTGCTGTGGCAACTCCTGGGCGGAAGGGGGGCAGGGGGAAGGGGAGGCGGGGGGGCCGTCCGCCTACTCCTTCTGTAGGGGCCGCGGCTGTGGTTAGTCCGGGGGGAGGGGGAGGGGGAGGCGGAGGGGGGAGGGGGAGGTGGGGGAGCAAGTCCGGGAGCAGCAGGGGGAGGTAATGGCGTGGCGAGTCCAGGGGGAGGTAGATCTGACGCTGGTGCAGGGGTAAGCCCAGGGGGAGGTAGATCCAGTCCAGGTGCAGGGGTAAGCCCAGGGGGAGGTAGATCCAGTGCAAGTGGTGCACGGGTCAGCCCAGGGGGAGGTAGATCTGGTGCAGGTAGTTTTAGAAGGAGGTCTGCTGGAGTGGTGAGCCCAGGAGGGGGAGAAACGCAGGAGGAGCTATCGTTCGAAATGACGATTCACCATCCAGCAGAGGTGCTATTTATCGAACCACAGGAGAGCGAGATGATGACTGGCCATCCACCACCACAGACAGGGGTAGGAAACGGCGAGATGAGGATACACCACCACCCACCCGAGGTGCTGTTTATCGAACCACCAGTGCCGAGGTCACAGGTGGTGGGAGGATCTATGGGGAGGGCGGCGGAACGCGCGCAGGTGCTAACTGGGGGAGGTGCAACTGGGAGGGCGCAGGTGCTATCTCTGGAAGTGCCCTCCCCCGGGCCTTCCCCTGGGCCTAGCTGTGGGATGGACTGGGAGGGGATTGAGATTGGGGAGGAGGAACGGGAGGAGGGAGAGGAGGAGGGGTGGATTGGGGAGGAGGGGGAGGGGGAAGGGGCAGGGGAATGGAGGGGGGAAGGGTGGGCGGGATGGAGAGAGAGGGGGATGGGCGGAGCAGAGGACGAAGGGGAAGGAGAGGAGGAGGAGGAGGAGGAAGAAGAGGGGGAGGAGGAAAGAGAGGAAGGAGAGGAGGATGATGCGGAGTTTTGTTCGCCTACGTGGCGCGAGTGGCATCACTCGGCGTTTTCTAGGGAGGGCGAGTTTGTGGGGCATAACTCGGGGTTTCTTGAAGAGGGGGAGATGGGGGAAGGCATGGGGGTGGGGGGTAGAGGGGGAGCAGCAGGGGATGGTGCAAGGGGTGGCGATGACGCAAGAGAGGGGGATGGTGCGAGGCAGGGTGGATGGCAAGAGGGCGCAGTGGTGGGCATAGACTCTGACGAGTGCAACATGTGAGTGTGATCACAACATGAGCTCTAGCTGAGGTGATTTTTGAAGCGCCTCAAAAACCACCTCAATGCAGGTGGTAGGGATTTCGTGTTCGCCCCTACACCAACACATCCGTTTGCCGAACCGAACACTGTTCGGCGAACACTTTAAGCAAAAACACGTGTTCGCCGTTCGCCTGTGAAGGCGTGTTCGGGCGAACCTCGAACACGTTCGTGTTCGTCGCGGGGCAAATTGCAGCAGCGGCCCGAACACGAACGTGTTCGGGCAAACCTCGAACACTGTTTGGCGAACACTTTAAGCAAAAAAAACAAACCTGTTCGGTTCGCCTCGAACCCTTGTGCTCATGTCTAGCAGGTGGTGGCGCGAGGCAGGGTGGAGGGCAAGAGAAGGCAAGAGAGGGAAAGAGAGGGCAAGAGAGGGCAAGAGAGGGCAAGAGAGGGCAAGAGAGGGCAAGAGAGGGCACTGAGTAAAGTTCCACCATCCTCATGTGGATGTGCAGTGGTGGTGGTTCTCCGCATCCCTCCCCCGTCGAACCCTCCCCCCTCAACCCCCCTGAATCAACTCCCGCAGGCCCCTATCCACTGGGAGCAGCGGCCCTCCCCATTCCTCCTCCATTTCGCCCCGTTTTTCCTTTCCCCCCATGTTAACCCCCTCCACTCCACCTCCTCTTCCCCTCCTCTTCCCCATCCCCCTCCCCCACAAATCATCCCCTGCAGCCCCTTCCGTTTACAGCTGCGCCTCCCCCCATCCCTCCCCCATCCCAATTCCCTTTCCACCACTTAACCCCCTTCTCTCCCCTTCCTCCCCCCCTCTCTCCACCAACTCCCCCCCAAACCCTCCCCTGCAGGCCCCTATCCGCTGGAAGCAGCGCCTCCCCCTTTCCAGCATCCCACAGGCCTCCACAAATCTCTCCCTCCCCCCTGAACCCTCCCCCCCCTCTCAATCCCCCTCCCTCTCTCCCCAAACCCTCCCCTCTCAATCCCCCTCCCTCTCTCCCCAAACCCTCCCCTGCAGGCCCCTATCCGCTGGAAGCAGCCCCTCCCCCCTTCCAGCATCCCACAGGCTCCCACCCCGCTCTCCCCTCCCCCGAACCAAGAAGCCAGGTTCGGGAGCCTCCGTACCTGTAACGCCGAACCAGACCAGTGGCCCAGGCTGGGGGGTTGCCGAGCCTGAGGCCCCGAGCCGAATCAGCTCGGATCGGAGCCCTGGTTACCCTGTTACTGGTATGAGGAGGAGTAAGAGCACTCCTAGGATCAAGAAGGGAGGGGGAGAAGGAGGCGGGGAGGTGGAGAGAGAGAGGTTAGTGGTAGTGGGAGAGAGAGGAGGAGCAGCAACAGTTGCAGAGAGAAGGGATGTGGACACGCAGCTGCTTTTGCAGCAGCACGGGCAGCAGCAGCAGGAGCAGCAGCAGCAGCAGGGACAGCAGCAGCAAGGGCAGCAGGGGGGGCTGGGTGCAAAAGCAGGGAGGTCGAGGGTTGTTCAGCGCAGATCCAGCAGCTATCATGGTGTTCCGGGTTCAGGTGGGGAGGCATCTCGGGTGGTAACTTTCAGCACTGCTGCGGCCGCTGCGGCTTTTGAGGCGCCTCAAAACAGATCCAGCAGCTATCATGGTGTTCCGGGTTCAGGAGGGGAGGCATCTCGGGTGGTAACTTTCAGCACTGCTGCGGCTGCTGATGGTGCTGGTGCTGCTGCTGCTGCTGCTGCTTCTGCCATGCCCTATTGCGCCTCATCTGCTGCTGTCCCTCCTACTCCCACTTCTGCTTCTGCTGCATCCGCGAAACGCCAAGAGGCCAAAGCGCTAAGAGGCCGCTCCAGATCACTCGTTGACGATCGCACTTCGAACCCCTTTGCCAACGCCGATCCCGTTACTGTTAGCGCTGCTGCCGCCGCCGCCACTGCTCCTGCTGAGAGTACAAATTCTGTGCCAATGCGAAGGGCCGAAACACTCAGAGGTCGTTCCAGGTCACTTGTGGAAGACGGCAGAGCAGAACCCTTTGGTTTGCAGACGCGTTTCGAGCCACCAGCTTCACGGCTGGACCAGTCTGTTTCAATGAGGCGAGCTGAGACGCTGAGAGGTCAGTCTAGCAGGGGAATCGACCTACGGGGTAGTGCTGCAGAGCAGCAGCAACAGGCGGTTGAAATGAGACGAGCAAAAACACTCAGGGGACCGTCTAGAAGCGACCAAAAGGGTTGTGCTCTAGAGCAGCAGCAGCCAGTTGATATGCGGCGAGCAGAGACGCTGAGAGGAAGGCCTAGATCGGACTTGAGGCGTAGTGCTTCAGAGCAGCAGCAGCAGCAGCAGCAGCAGCAGCAGCAGCAGCAGCAGCAGCAGCAGCAGCAGCAGCAGCAGCAGCAGCAGCAGCAGTCAATCGATATGCGACGAGCAGAAACACTCAGGGGACCGTCTAGAAGCGACCAAAGAGTAGAGCAGCCACAGCCAGTCGAAATGCGCCGAGCAGAGACGCTTAGCGGGAGGCCTGAAAACGTGCAAGTGAATCTGCCAGTCCAGAAAGGCGATTACCGGGAGATGAGGCGATCTGAGACGCTCAGAGGGCGGGCGAGATCTTCCCAATTGGATCCGACGGTTCAGATTCAAAGCGGGCTGGAGATGAGGCGAGCAGAGACGCTGAGAGGGAGGGGGAAATCAGACCGAATGGGTGATTCTACAGAGCAGCAGCAGCATCCAGTTGATATGCGGCGAGCAGAGACGCTGAGAGGACGGACGAGAGCAGAGCTTATGTGTGATGCTATAGAGCAGCCGATCCAGCCAGTTGAAATGCGACGAGCGGAAACACTCAGAGGACGGCCTGAAGCCACGCAAGTTGATCCGACGGTCCAGAAAGGCGATTACCGGGAGATGAGGCGATCCGAGACACTCAGGGGGAGAGCGAGGTCCAATTCAGTGGATTTACTCACACAGGGCGAACCGGAGGGTAGATCCTCCCAAGTGGATCCAACGGTCCAGAATGGAGGAGACTATCGGGAGATGCAGCGATCAGATACGCTGCGAGGGAGAACGAGGTCCAATTCAGTGAAATTAGTCACACAGGGCGAACCGGGGGGCATGAGGCGTGCGGAAACGCTCCATGGACGGTCGAGATCAATCCAAGCAGATCCTGCGGCTCAGAATGGTCCTGTGGAGCAGGTGCAGTGCTTAAATAAGCGACGGGGAAAGAGTGTTTCCAGTCTCTCCCCTCACAGTGTGTCCCCACCTGGTTTCCCTCCTGTCCGCCTGTCTCCTCACAGTGTCTCTCCTGTTGGTGTGCCTCCTTACAGTGTGTCTCCTTATAGTGCGTCTCGTTACAGTGTGTCCCCATCCTGTGTGCCTGCTCACAATGTGTCTCCTTATAGTATGTCTCCTCACAATGTGTCTCCTTATAGTATGTCTCCTCACAATGTGTCTCCTTATAGTGTGACTCCTACGTTTGAGTCCCCAACCGCCGTGGACACGTGTGCAAAGACATTAGAGCCAAGTTTGGGGAGGCAGCAAGCAGCAACGCTCAGAGAAAGGAGCAGGAGCATTTCTGGGGAGGAGAGTGTGTGGACGAGGCGAGGGGAGAGTGGTGCTGGTGCTGCTGATGTGGGAGAAGGTACGTGGAGGAGCAGAAACAGGAGCACTTCAGGGGAGGAGGAGAGCGAAGGCATGAGGCGAAGGGAGAGTGGTGGTAGTGGTAGTGCTGGCGGTGGCGGTGTTGCTGCTGCTGCTCCGGCTGCTGCGGCTGCTGATGTGGGAGAAGGTACGTGGAGAAGCAGAAGCAGGAGCACTTCAGGGGAGGAGGGTGAATGCTCGGGGCGAGGGAAGAGTGGTGGCGGTGGTGGCGGTGCTGCTGCTGCTGCTGCTGCTGCTGCTGATGATGATGATGATATGGGAGAAGGTAACTGGTGGAGCAGAAGCAGGAGCATCTCAGTTGAGGAGGAAAGTGAAGGCACGAGGCTAAGGGAGAGTGGGGGGATAGGCGCAGGAGAGAGTGTGCGGATGAGACGAGGTGAGGGGTTGCGAGGGCAGAATGGGGTGAGGGATGTTACAGAGGTGGGACGATCGGGGGGTGAGAAGAGGTTGGGCGGAATGGGGATGAGAGTGAGAAGCGGGTCAGATCTGGATAGAATGGGCGAGGGGGAGGTTGTGGAGATGAGACGAGCAGAGACACTGCGAGGGGAGGGTGGGAGGAGTGGTGGGAGGAGTGGTGGGAGGAGGATGGGAGGTGAGAGTGGGAAAAGGGTTGGGAGAGGGGTGGAAGGTGCAGGAGGGGTGAAGGGTGGAAAAGGGGGTGGTGCGAGAGGGGTTGGGGGCATGAGAGTGAGAGCAAGGAGTGGTTCTGAACTGAGTGAGATGGGCAAGGGGAATGTGGAGGAAAGTGGTGCGGTGGAAAGAGTTGCAGAGGGAAAAGGTGCTGTGGAGAGCGATGAGGGGAGAGTTGTGGGTCCGGTGGTGGGTGGTGCAAGAGGGCATGCAGCGGTTGGGGAGCAACATGCAGGTGTAGAGATGCGAAGACAAGCCGGGGGCATGAGAGTGAGAGCGAAGAGTGGGTCTGAACTGTGTGAGATGGGCAAAGGGGGTGTGGAGGAAGGAGGTGCGGTAGAGAGTGGCGAGGGAAGCGTTGTGGGTTTGACGGTGGGTCCGATGGTGGGTGGGGAACAGCAGCAGCAGCATGCAGTGGCGATGCGACGAGTGGAGACCATGCGAGGGCGAGTCGAGCAAGTGCGGGTAATGCGGGGGGAGCAGCAGATGATGCAGCAGGGACAGCAGCACGGGCAGCAGAAGGGGCAGCAGAAGGGGCAGCAGAAGGGGCAGCAAGTTGCAGTGCATACCGGCCCTAGGCTGAACGGCAATGCACCTGCTGTTGGTGCTGCTGGTGGTGCTGCTGGTGGTGCTACTGCTGCGGAGAGAAAAGGAAGTGGGCGAAGCTATCAGATGCGGCGATCCCGAACCTCCTCTAATCAGAGGCTCACCCACACCCCCTCCCCTGAAGGGGAAACTATGGCTGGCGGGGCGGATGGGAGGGGAGAAGGGCAGGTGGGGGAGTTGCGGCGAGCAGAGACAACTAGAGGACGGGTGGAGCGAGAGAAGCAGCATCAGGGGGAGCAACGGAAACAGCAGGATGATCATCATCAGCAACAGCAGCAGACACAGAAGCAGCAGCAACAACAGTTGCAAGCGCAGGCAGACCAAAGCAGAAGCCCAGCTGCCCGCAGCAGCAGCTCGTATTTTGAGCCTCTTAAAACGGAAGCTTCCAGCACCGCAGAGGGCAGCAGCATTGCCAGCACGAGCACTTGGAGCACGAAGAGCAGAGGGCGGCACTGCATGCGGCGATCCAAAACCTCCTCCACAGAGCGCCTCCTCTCCCTCTCGCTCTCCCCCTGCACAGAGCAACAACCCTGCACAGAGCAACAACCCGTGGCAGGACCACCCAATGAAATGGCTGCTCATGGGAGCGAGTCGAGGCGAGGAGGGAGCGTGAGGGAGCGGGGGCGGAAGAAGAGGCTGAATGCGTGGGATGTGTTTGGGGACGAAGAGGATGTGATTGGGCGGGAAGGGTGTGTGGTGGTGCTCCAATCAAGTGCTGCCAGGTGTTCTCCTCCTACCGGCTCCTCCCCTCCACTGGGTTTCGCTCCCAGCATGTTTGAGAAATTGGCGCCTGCCCGGAGTTTCACATCTGCCCGGGAAGAGGGGGGGGTTGACTCGAGTCCACCGCTGGTGCGGTCAAAGTCTGAAAAGAGGGTGACGGGGTGGAGAGGACAGGAGCGGGAGGGTTTTGAGAATTCTCAAAAGCCACCTGTATCAGTCACGGATGTCATATCTGCCTGGGAGGAGGAGGGGGGTAACTCAAGTCCACCGCTGCTGCATTCAAAATCAGATAGGAGGGTGGCGGGGCGGAGAGGACAGGGGCGGGAGGTTTTTGAGAATTCTCAAAAGCCACCTGCATCAGTCAGGGATGTCATTTCTGCGTGGGAGGAGGAGGGGGACGTTGACTCGGGTCAACCTCTGGTCCATCGGTCAAAATCGGACAAGCGGGTGGCGGGGCGGAGAGGAGCAGGCCGGGATGGAGTTAAAGGGAAGGAAATTGTGGAATTGAGAGGAGATGAGATTGTGGGAGGGCGAGAGACGGTGGAGGGGACGGGGATGCGCCGTGCAGTGAGCGTGCAAGGAGGGTTGGGTAGCCGTATAGAGGCATGGTCACAGCAGCAGCAGCAGAAGAAACAACAGCAGCAGAAGCAGAAACAACAGAAGGAGGAGGAAAAGCAGCAGCAGCTGCAGCTACAGGAGGAGGAGGAGGAGGAGGAGGAGGAGGAGGAGGAGGAGGAGGAGGAGGAGGAGGAGGAGGAGGAGGAGGAGGAGGAGGAGGAGGAGGAGGAGGAGGAGGAGGAGGGGCAGCAGCAGAACAATCGGGTGAGGCTGCTGCTGCAGCGATCAATGAGTCGGAGGGAACGAGCAGCAGCGAAAGCTGCAGCACTGGAGATCGCGACAGCCGCTGCAGGAAGAGCAGCAGCGGAGGGAGAGAGAGAAACAGAAGCAGCCCCCGTTGCTGATGTGCTTGGTAAAAACAGCGTTGAGGGGAGGGAGCAGATGCAGCAGGGGGAGAGACAGAGGCAGCCTCACAGACACGCGTCTATGCCAGCTCGCACGCCGAGAGGGACAAGCCTGATGGAGAGAGAGTGGGCGAAAGGGGAGATTGGCTCAACTCAACCCGTCAAGCCCATGAGAAGTGATGATGGAGGGAAAGGTGGGAGGAAAGGGACGGGTGTAGCGGTCACAGGAGCTGGGAGAGAGGAGGGGAAAGGGAGAGGAGAGGACGAGAGGCGGAGGCAGGGAGGGGGCGAGGAGGAGGGAGGGGAGAAGCAGCAGCGGGTGAGAGAGAAGGAGGCGTTGAGAGAGATGGAGAGGGAGATTAGGGTGATGTGGGAAAGAAGGGCGCTGGAGCGTGCTGCAGCCAGACGGGCTGGTGAGAGCAAGAGGGATGGGGAGAGTGGGGAGGTGGTTCAAGGTGGGAGTGAGTGTGGAGGAGAGCAGCGAGGGTTGGAGAGGAGGAGCAAGAGTGTAGGTGAGGGTAGGTTGAGAGGAAGATGTGGGGTGGTGTGTGAGGGAGTAGCAGTTGAAGGAGGAGGAGGGATAGAGGAGGCGGATTTAGAGGAGGAGGAGGTTCCAAGCTACCCTCCATTAAGTCGCAGCCGCACTCAACCCTCTCGCCTGCCTTCTAACCCATGCACACCGCGTTACACCCACCTCCCTCCCTTCTCACCGCATGCCTCCCTCCTTGCGCCGTTGTCCCTCACCGAACCTGGCGCCGAACCTGTTTTCCAAGCCGCATACCACTATGATCTGGTGCAGCCGCTCTCCCCAGACCCGCAGGTCTGGGAGGAGCCTGAGCCTGAAACCGAACCTGAGACCGACCCCCGAGCCAAGCGCCGTGGCTTCCGAGACCGGCTGTTCGGCCGAAGCTCTAGCGGAGGTCGGGACAAACTTGCAGAGGTGGGCAGGGAAGTGAAGGTGGTGAAGCATGGGACTCATGGAGGGAGTGTGGGGGGGATGGAAGGCCGAAACAGCCTGTTTGGGCGAGACGGGTCGTATGGGCAAGACAGCATGTTTGGGGGAGAAGGGTCGTATGGGAAGGGGGGCGCATGGGGGCTGGATGGCAGTGGTGGGAGAATGAGCCGTGACGGGTCTCTCAACCAACATGCTGCCACGATGAGCCGAGATAGTTCCCTCAACCAGAGTGGTGTGTTGAGCCGAGATGCATTGTTTGCACGGGACGGGCTAGGCGAGAACGCTGGTGGTGGTGTTGGTGGTGCTGACAGACAGGTTGAGTCCGGTACTGAGGCTAGCAGTGCGGTTCCTTTCTTGCCACAGGTGAAGCACCAAGCAGAGGCATACAGAGAGAGTGGCGGCAGTGGCACCAGCAGCAGCGGGCACAAAGGTGGCCGCTTCTCCCTGAGAAGACACCTGCAGCGGCTTAAAAGCGGCGAGGCTAAGGCTCCGGTTAACTCTCCTTTACCCCGGGTAGTAGACTCGCTGTTTGATTTTTCCCCTGACGAGGCTGCAGGTGTTTCCTCCCCTACGCTCTCCTCCTCCCCTTCCCTCTCCTCTTTCTGGGCTGGTATGTTCTCCCGAACCCAGACCGGGAGCCGCCTGTCAGGCTCGGTAAGCAGCTGGGGAGGCTCGGGAAGGGGGAGTAGGGATGGGGATGGGTTGAACGAGGTTGCTTCCGCTGCTTTTGCCACTGCTACTAGTGGTGGTGGTGGTGGTTGCGTTTCTGCTTTTGACAGTAACAGTTACGACGGGGACAGTGTTGTGCCGATGCGGAGGAGCAAAACGGATGGGAGGAGGGACTATATCGAGAAAGGAGTGATCCCTGTGAGCATGAGCGAGAGCATGAGTTTTGCAGAGAACGAGCTAGTGAATGTGATGCGACGGGGGGGTATGAAAGGGATGATGGAAGGGATGGATGGGATGAGGGGAGTGGAGGCAGGAGAGGAGGATGCAGATGTGGAAGGGGCATATGAGGCAACGGTGTTTACACCTCTCAAGGTGCCCAAGGGCCAAGTCTCCTTCCTGGGCAAGTGAGATGGGCATGTGGGCAGCGGGGGGACGATAGGAGTCAGGCAACAGAGAGGGAGGAGGGGGAGAGGGTGCAGATGTGGAAGGGGCGTATGAAGCAGCCCAGTTTGTCCCAACCCCAACCTAAACCAGAAAACATTGCCAGATTTGCTTTGTTGCTAGCTACCTGTTACGTTCTCGCCATATGTAGTAAGCAATGAAATTATATGGAGAATATTGTCTACATTGGTGCCACCCGCACAGCTTTATTTGCCTTACAAAAAGGCCATCCACTAGGCGCACAGACAACCCAACCCAGCCCAACCCAACCTAGCCTAACCCAACTCAACTCAGCAGCCCAACCCAAGCTAGCCCAACCCAACCCAACCCAGCCTCATATCTCGCTACCCCACCCAGCATACTGTACCATCGACACTTTCAATCGCCCCCCAAGTCTTTCCTATCCCTCGGCGGATGGCTTCTGCTAGAAAGGCATGTGAAAATGTAAGAATTAGGGCATATAAAATACAAGGGAATATAAACCTAACCTAGGGCAAACCAGGAACACGTAAACTACAACTAAATAAACTATATAAAATATAGTTTGACACACCCCTATACTCAAGCGGAAGACAACACAAATCTCAGGGTGGATCACGAAGTCACGACGCAGTCTGAGAGCAAGGGTCACAGGACCAGTCAGCAAGAACATGTCAGAATGTTATATTGCTTATATTGTGTAGGCTATAGTGGGGTAGCCCATAAGGGGTACAACCCAATTAGGGTTAGTACTTGTACCCAACTCTTTCATAGTTCATTCATTCTCGTTCGTTAGTTTGACATGGTTTCAGAGCAGGTCCTTCGTTAGGACCAATTTCTTGGGCCCACCACAGCGCTGCCCCACTAGCCGACCCTCGTGCCGCTCCTGCTACCCCGCGCGCCGCCCTTGTGCGGCCTGTCTGACGACCCTAGGCCCCGGCGCCCCCCCCCCCCCCCCCCCCCCCCCCCCCCCGTCGACCCCAGGCCCAGGCCCACCCCGTCGACCCTAGGCCTGCGCGCCCCGACGACCCTAGGCCCGCGCGCGCCCTGTCGACCTTAGGCCCCCGGCCCGCCCTGTCGACCCTAGGCCCGCGCGCCCCGTGGACCCTCGGCCCCGGACCCGCTCTGGCGATTCTAGGCCCGCGCCCGCCCCGTCGACCCTAGGCCCCGGCGCCCCGTCGACCCTAGGCCCCGGCGCCCCGTCGACCCTAGGCCCCAGCGCTCCGTCGACCCTAGGCCCGCGCGCCCCGTCGACCCTCGGCCCCGGACCCGCCCCGTCGACCCTAGGCCCGCGCCCGCCCCGTCGACCCTAGGCCCCGGCGCCCCGTCGACCCTAGGCCCCGGCGCCCCGTCGACCCTAGGCCCCGGTGCCCCCCCCCCGTCGACCCTAGGCCCCCGGCCCGCCCTGTCGACCCTAGGCCTGCGCGCCCCGTCGACCCTCGGCCCCGGACCCGCCCCGTCGACCCTAGGCCCGCGCCCGCCCTGTCGACCATAGGCCCCGGCGCCCCGTCGACCCTAGGCCCCGGAGCGCCCCGACGACCCTAGGCCCAGGCCCGTCCGTCGACCCCAGACCCCGCGCGCCGCCCATTCCGGCCCGCCCCTCGCCCCTGCAGCCCGCGAGCCGCCCTTGCAGCCCCGCGCGCCGCCCCTGGTGGCCCTCTAGCCGCTCCTGCTGCTCTGCTAGCCGCCCCTTGTGGCCCTCTCACCGCCTCTTGTAGCTCACTTACCGCCCCTTGCTGCTGCATGTCCTGTGCCCTCCGCTGCCCTGCTTCTACCCACTCTGCGTGCTGCGCCACTATGGCTTCTCTTCGCGTTCTCGCTTTCGATCATGAGGGCCGCCCTATCCAGTTCGACACGTGGCTCGACGACCTGCAGCTGTACCTACTGAGCGACTCTAGGGACAGCGTTTCGTTGTTTGACAACACGTCTGGCGCCGCTCCCGCCCCTCCCGCCACAACTGATAGTGTGACTCGCTCACAGGGGCTTACTCGCGACGCTGCTGCCCGCTTAGCCATTCACAACCACCTGCCGTTAGCCAAATGCGCTCACTTCGGACAGCACAGGACAGCACAGGCACTGTACGACGCTGTCGTCGCTCGCTACTCCTCGCCTGCCACTGCTGCTCTAGGCCGCCTTCTATTGCCCTACCTGTTCCCCGAGCTGTCCGTCTTTGCCCCAGTAGAGGACCTGGTTTCCCACCTTTGCACTAGCGACGCTCGCTACCGCGCTGCCACCCCAGCTGAGTTCCTTGACAGGAACCAGCCCCCGATGTTCATCACTCTCTAGTTTATAGTCACCCGACTCCGTGACTCTCTTCGCTCTGTCAGGGACCACTTTCTCTCCCTCGAACCCACAGTCCTCACTATTGACCTACTCGAGCAGCACCTCCTTGCAGCTGAGACTAGTGTAGTCGCTGTAGGTGCTGCTCGTGGCACTCCGTGCACACCCTTCTTTAAAGGGTACTCCCCCTCCCCCCTTGCCCCCTCCTACGCCTCTGCTGCTGCTGCAGACGTCCCTGGTGCTGAGGACGTCGGAGCCGCTTCTGCTAGTGCGAAGCGCCGCAGCAGAAAGGGCAAGGGTGGCAAGGGTGGTGGCGGTGGCATCATGGGTGGTGGTGGGGGCAGCAGTGGAGGTGGTGGAGGCGGTGGAGGTGGTGGCAGTGGTGGGAGTGGTGGCGGGAGTGGGGGCTTTGGTGGCGGCAGTGAAGGCAGCGGTGGGAGTGGCGGTCGTGGCAGCGGTGGGAGTGGTGGCGGTAGGACTAGAGCTCAGCGTGGAGGTTCTGGAGGAGGCCAGAGGCAGCAGCAACAGCGTCGGAGCGAGACCCCGTCGCCCCAGCAGCTTCGTGAGTGGTTGTCTCAGCATGGGGCGTCTGGGGGTAGTGGTAGCTGCCCGTATGTCATTCCCACGGGTGACCGTGCTGGTCAGACATGCGGGAAGCCTCACACTTAGCACCGCTGCTTCTCCCGCCTCGATGACGCTTGGCGCGCTGAGTTTGGTGATGAGGTCGAGCGCCCCCGCTGGGCAGAGCTGCTTAGGTCCGGAGTTGCTATCTTTGACCTAGACTATGATGCTATCCTTTCTGCTATGTATGCTTTGTCTGTTAGTGCTGAGGGTGACAGTTACCAGTGTGTGCCGCCTGACCCAGGTATAGAGGCTGCTGCTCTAGGTGCTAGTGAGTCTTCTCTCCCTGGTACTGCGCCTACTGAGGCCTTGCACACCTTCACGCTGGACTCAGGTGCCTCACGCTGTTTCTTTCGTGACAGCACCACCCTCAATCCTCTCCCTGCACCTGTCCCGGTCAGACTGGCTGACCCCTCTGGGGGCCCAGTCGTTGCCCATTCCTCCACTGTTCTCCCGTGTCCGGCGGTTCCGTCCGGCTCACTGTCAGGTCTTCACCTCCCCTCGTTCTCTACGAACTTGGTGAGTACAGCTGCCCTCCAGGATTCGATGGTCACTACCACCACTCCTGGGGGTCAGCGTGTGTCGATCTGCACGTCTACACGGACGGGCCGTCACCTGGCCACGTTTACTCGTCGGCCAGGGTCGAGTCTGTACACAGTGGCTATCGAGCCTCCTCAGGTCGCTGAGTCTGCCCAGGTGTCCGCGTCAGGCCAGGTAGCACCCCCTTGCTCGTGTCGCCTCCTGTCGCACCAGACCCTCCTCCGGCACCACCGCCTTGGTCACCCCTCCCTTCCATGCTGCGTGGCATGCACTCCCGCCTCCTTGTCTCTGGTCTTCCCAGGTCTTTGCCTCCCCTCCCACCCTCGTCTGCCCCGCCCTGCCTTCCTTGCGTCGAGGGGCGGCAGCGCGCCGCTCCTCACTCCTCCTCGTTTCCCCCGACGACTGCTCCCCTGCAGACTCTCCACATGGACGTGTGGGGCCCAGCCCGCGTCAGTGGACAGGGCCGCGAGCGCTACTTTCTGTTGGTTGTTGACAACTACACGCGTTACACCACGGTCTTCCCCTTGCGCAGCAAGGGTGAGGTCCCTGATGTTTTGATCCCTTGGATCCACGCGGTCCGTCTCCAGCTAGGCGAGCGGTTCGGACAGGACCTTCTTGTCCTGCGTCTGCACTCTGACAGAGGTGGTGAGTTCTCCTCCGACCTCTTGTGGGACATTTGTCGTGAGGAGGGCATCAGCCAGTCGTTCACGCTTCCGGCCTCTCCGCAGCAGAATGGGATTGCTGAGCGTCGCATTGACTTAGTCATGGAGGTCGCTCGTACCTCCATGATCCATGCGGCTGCCCCCCATTTTCTGTGGCCGTTTGCGGTCCGGTACGCTGCGCATCAGCTCAACCTCTGGCCCCGTGTCTCCTCGCCGGAGACCTCGCCCACACTGCGTTGGACGGGGGAGGTTGGCGATGCGTCGATGTTCTGGGTTTGGGGCTCTCGCGCCTTTGTTCGCGATACGTCCGCGGACAAGCTCTCCGCCCGTGCTATCCCCTGCGTCTTCCTTGGCTTTCCCCATGACGCTCCTGGCTGGCAGTTTTACCACCCCACCTCGCGCCGTGTCTTCCCCTCTCAGGACGTCACGTTTGACGAGTCGGTTCCCTTTTACCGTCTCTTCCCCTACCGTTCTGCCCCTCCCCTGCCCCCGCCACTCTTCCTTGCTCCCGGTCCCCCTCCGGTAGACCCCCTCCCGCCCCAAAGTCCTGCTCCCTCAGGTGTGTCTCAGGTAGACCCTCCCTGGTACTATGCCTGTTGAGGTAGCTGGCAACTCAGGTGCTGCTCGAGGTGCTACATCTGGGGGTGTTGCGTCTAGGGGTGCGGAGCCTGGGGGCGTTGAGTCTGAGGGTGCCGTGTCTGGGGGTGCTGAGCCTAGGGGTGCGGAGCCTTGGGGTGCTGAGACTGCGGGTGTGGAGCCTGGGGGTGCTGAGCCTGAGGGTGTTGAGCCTGGGGGTGCTGAGTCTGAGGGTGCGGAGTCTGGGGGTGCTGGGCCTTGGGGTACTGCTTCTGCTGGAGATCCTGCGTGTGCTTCGCCACGACTCTC